TACCCCAGAACCCGAGTTACAGAACTTTAGTTGCAATTGCCAGAAGATCAAGACTCAGATCAAAATATCAGCATCCAACAATGTAGAAGACTTGGTCATAACATGCAATGGAATAAATGTGAGTTTGTAGTCCAAGATAAATATTAGTTAATTAATTTTGATTCCTCTTACTTTTAGACTGCTGAGAGTATTGCCGACCTTATTGACGGCTACTGCAGGCTGTTATCAAAAGACCTAGAGTTCACGATTTGGCAGCGAGAGACAATCGCATCAAGTGATGATAGCGCAAAAGCATTGCCCAATGATGCGACGCTGGAGTCCAACAAATCGACTTCGAGTCAGGGAAAGCCGATGCTGACGGATGATTACGCCGAGATTGGTTTATTGGAGGGCGAGGGTGATTACTCTACACCTACTGTTCGAAATTATGAGCTGGACCGAGCCCACATCATTCCGAGTGCTAAAATTGGAGTGGGACAGTTCGGCGACGTTTATGTGGGCACATATACTTTGCCGAAGTTGGGCAAGGGAAAGAGCTCCCTGAAGAATGGAAAAGATAGCAATACCGACCAAAGAAACGCCGATGCAAGGCCAGACGTAATTCAAGTGGCGATAAAGACATGTAAAGCTAACGATGATCCTGAAAAAACCGAAAACTTTCTGGCCGAAGCTAGTACGTCATTACATTCTTCCACGACTCTTGCACAGTTTTTAAAAATCTTTTGGTCTTTTCAGTTATCATGCAGAAATTTGATCATCCCCATATTATTCGCTTAATTGGCATTTGTAGCGAAGTTCCCATTTGGATAGTCATGGAATTGGCCAAACTTGGTGAACTGCGAGCATATTTGAAGACAAACAGCGACAGGTGATACTAAAGCAAAGTGAACTTATTTGATTTTATATACTTTATTTTCGCTCTCATTAGATTAAGGTGATACTAAAGCAAAGTGAACTGATTTGATTTTATATACTTTATTTTCGCTCTCATTAGATTAAGTCATGGTACCCTATTGAAGTATTGTTACCAGTTATCGACTGCTCTTAGCTACTTGGAATCCAAAAAGTTTGTACACCGAGATATAGCTGCGCGTAACGTACTTGTCAGCTCCCCAACGTGTGTTAAGGTAATTAAAAAATAATTGTATATAAATTATTTGTTTTAAGGTGCCCATCTAATTTTTCAGTTGGCTGATTTTGGATTATCTCGCTGGGTTTCCGATCAATCCTATTATCATTCAACTCCTACAGGTAATATTTTTTACTTTTATTGTTCAAACTTATATAAAACAGAGTTTTTTCTTATTAGTGGCCCTTCCCATTAAATGGATGTCCCCGGAGTCGATTAACTTTAGAAGATTCACCACAGCCAGTGATGTATGGATGTTCGGTTTGTAAAATACACTTTGTGGCCAACTTGTCATGACTGATCGCATCACTTCACTTAGGTGTCTGTATTTGGGAAATACTCATGCTTGGTGTGAAGCCCTTTCAAGGCGTAAAGAACAGCGATGTAATCTCAAAGCTGGAAAATGGGGAGCGTCTGCCCTTGCCACCGAACTGCCCGCCCCGACTTTATTCGCTAATGTCTCAGTGCTGGGCCTATGAACCTCTTAAACGACCGAATTTCAAGCGGATCAAGGAAACTCTTCAGTAAGTTCTTCAATAAAGCCAACAAAATATCTGATTCAAATACTATTTTTCATTTTTGCCATAGTGAAATTCTTATTGAAGACAGCATTAATTCATCGGAGACTCTGAAGCGGGAGCAACGAAAAGTGGCATCCATGTCCTGGGTGGGCAGTGACGAGATTGACATTCCGCCATCGAAACCTTCAAGGGCGATGCATGACCCTGGTACTTAAATGTCACTACTTTAATTTCTTTCAAATACTTATTTTTGTTATTTATTGCAGACATGTCAGGCTTGATGCCTGAACCAACGACGCTACCTCAGACTTATATAATTGCACAAAATCCGGCGGTGCTGGCCAAGCTAATGATGGAGAACCAAAAACGAGGCATCAATCCAGCCGCATACACCACACCAGCTTCGGTATTTAATACTCTAGCCGTAGGATTAGATGACAGCAAGTCGAATGTCTCACTCAAGACTACAAAGCTTCCCGCTGCAGATTTGTTAAAACTAGACCCGATCGCAGAATCCGAAAGGCTAAAGTCCCAGTTTTCTCCTAACAGCAGTGCTTGTCAAATGGCCAACCCTATGACCGCTTTAGCTAACCCCCTTGAGCCCCCTAATCCCCATCAGCCAGGAATGTATACGGGAAGTTTGCCTTCAAAGAGTAGCTTTGTCGTTTGTCCACCCCAGACCGAGGATCAAATGCAGGGCGAAAACATATCTAACCCATCTGTGTCGAAGGTGGCCGGATATAGCCTATATGGCAGCCTGGAAAGGCATCAACCACCGCCAGCGAAGGCCATGCATTCAAAAGGTGGCAGCTTGGAGCGCCACCAGTCGTTGATGTCAGCCCAGAACATAGTTTTCTACAATGCGAAGCCGCCACACTGCACCAATACGGCAGAACGTTCGAGGAGCATGGAGCGAAACACCTACTTCCATGCCTATCGCCAGCAGATGAAAACCTCTATTGAATGCGAAGCTCTTCCCGAGGAAATCTACGATTTCGGGGGTGCCGGACTGAAGACCTGTGTGTCCGCCAGGCAGCAACCGAAGTTCAGTCCAATGGTGAATATACGCCCAATGGAATTTGGCCAAATACAAACGGCAGACTGCATGGGAATACAGTCAAATGTACCGATTGGCCCTGCAAGCGACTCCTTTGCAGTAATATCCCCACATAACATGGAGGAGAGCCTGAGAAATCAGCGCGAATGGGAGCGACAATGGGTGGTTTCGGGGCCACAGACTATGACAGTCGGTCCTAGCATTTCCGATGGAGCTGCTTGCATGGCTACCTTGCAAGCCGAAGCTTTGGGAAATCAGGTTGGCCTATATTGGACACGTTGGCAGCCAATCGTTTGCCTTTCCTTTTAATTTCTCTTCGTTTGTTTCCCCTTTTGTTGGTTTTTCTAATATAATTAACAGACTTTTATTTAGTTAGCTTTGATTTGTTTACGTTCTTATTATTTTATTTTAAGTCTCTTTCAACTAGGGAGTAATATATATTGTAATTTTCAGGGCATTCACAATGTTTTGGGCGAAAAGCTACGACAGCAGCAAAAGGAAAGCAACAGTGACAGCGAATGGTTAATTCAAGAAGAACTACTGGTTGGTTTTAATAACTTTTGAAAAAGAAGTATGTCTAACTTTTTTGTTTCTTTTAGCGGCAGAGATCCAGCTCGATACCCCAAGGATCAATCAACGATCATCAGCCGCAAATGTTTAAGCTTGACTTCATGTCAGCTGGACCTTCTAGTCTTCCAGACTGTTCGAATTCCAGCTCTCGACCCATGACACCCAATGCGAACCTCGTTTCGCTTAAGTCGAACAACTCCTCGGCGGATCACTTGTCTGGCCTGACATCTGGCGAAGATCAGATGGGTTTGAATAACCGAATCTTTGGCAGTTCGGTTTCGAGTCGACCACTGAACCGCGCAGATGACGAAGTGTATTGCGCCACCACACTGGTGGTCAAATCAATAATGGTGCTGTCACAAGGTGTGGAGAAAGCCAATACCGAAGGTTATTTGGAACTGGTTAAGAATGTGGGCGTCAAGCTGAGAAACCTGCTTACATCGGTTGACAAAATATCCGTGATGTTCCCAGCACAGGCCCTCAAGTAAGCAAACCCGCTGTCTACAAAGTTTTCTTTTAAATTAAGTTGAATCCATTTTTATAGGGAAGTGCAAATGGCACATCAAGTACTTTCCAAAGACATGCATGAACTGGTCTCAGCAATGCGATTGGCCCAGCAATATAGCGACACAACTCTTGATTGTGAATATCGCAGGTAAGTGTTAATAAATGTTAGAAACTCTGATTTCTTCGAATACTAATTCTCATTTTTATTGAAGGAGTATGCTATCTGCAGCCCACGTATTGGCAATGGATGCCAAGAACCTGTTTGATGTCGTCGATTCAATTCGGCAACGCTATCACCACCTATTCCCCCCGCAAGCCACAAAAGAGCCCAGTTGTTCATCAAGTATTGATTCAACTTCGGGTTCCATTGTCACAGAGCCAATTAATGAGCTCAGCGGCTATCTCAAACCGAGTACTTCAGGAGATTTGCTCCAGGCCACAGGGATATATGATAATGATTTGCATCATAGCTTCAGCTCGCAGTTGCAGTTGCAAAATCCATCACCCAGCCTCGACTTAGGCGGTGGGGGCAGCCTGCAGAGGGGCATGAGCATTGGCTTGGACCCCACGAGGGCAACAAACGAACCCCTGAGGATTGTGGAGGAGTCGCTGGGAAGCCCGGGTGAACATATGTATTGCAACACGTCCGCCTTGCATGGCCACGCGTAATTCTGAGAGATTATGTTTCTGCGCAGCTAGATATTAACTTAATGACCTAACTACTGTACATACTTTAAACATATATATCAAAATATGTATATCAATCGAACTATTCAGCGGATAATTCGCTTATCTACGTACGAAATATACATAGCTTTGAACATACTTACTCACTAAAGTTTGACGAGACTCCAACTCGGCCGGCCGCATTCTCACATCGTCATGTAGTCAAAATAATTTAAGAAACAAAGACACGTTTTTGATTGAAGATGGCTAGTAATAATATTTATAGATAATCTGCCCCTAATACAACTAAAAATGAATTTCATCATAATTTTGGGTGTGTTTTAAGACATTTATATTGTGATTTATAGTTTACCATAATGGGCTTTACTCGAAGCAAATTATTTTGGTGCAAGGTTCAATCACAAAAAATAAAACGAATTACTAAACAAAAAGTGTTTTTTTCTTTTTTATATTTGCGAATCTCAGACTTAAACAAGTTAACCCCGTTTTCAACAACCCAATGGGTAAAAAACTTTATAGAAAATATTATATATGGATTCCTTTAATAAGTTAACATTGGCTCAAGTTATAATTCCTTATTCAAATGTAAATAAGGCGTTTTTATAGGGTAAGTAAATAAGAATTCTGGGTCAACGATTCAATAAATTCGGTGAACATCACTTATTGACATGTAAATACATTAACGTGATTATACAGTTGAATGAAAACTTCTTTGGAAGTGTAGTTTGATTTGTACTTTATAAAGAAACATATTGGAGATTACCATTAGGAGATTTCATTTAAACATTTGTTCGATTTGATTCTCTAACTTAGATATAAAATATTGTCCTTTAAGAATATATTGTGCGTTCAATCCATTCTTCCAATGTAAACGTAGCTGTTTCGTTTTTCTCAGTGTCACGCTCTTTGAAGATATCTGTAAAAAAAGATTGGAATTGAAATTTGAATTGCATTTCTTGGTAGTCTTATTATATATTACCAATATAAGTTTTAATTTTAACTGCACACATAATGAAATCATCAAAGGCTATTTTGCCATCGCGAGAGCCATATCGATGACCCAAAACATTGAGAACGCGATTGTTCAGATGATAGCCAGCAGAGTTGAGTGCCTCTCGAAGCTGAAATCCTGACACCCTGCCCGTGTTCTCCACGTCGTAAACCTTGAAGATGGCCTTCCATTTGGCAATATCCGAAAGCAAGGTCTCGAACTCTTCGAAGCCCAGCTTGCCTGACTTATCGGCGTCCAGCATGGCCACCATGGAGCGGCAAACATCTTTGGAAAAGCCATGGGTCTCGTCCACAATAGCTGTAGGGATTTGAAAGCCGTAAGAACCTTTATATATATCTCTGCAGATTATATCTTACCATTAGCTGTTACAGGTCCACCATCGGCTGGATTGTCCCCTATTAGCCTCTTGTTCGACTGATCATTCATTCCCAACTGTTCCTCGAATGGTGTTCCCTTCAAAAATGGCCCGCAAATCAGGGACAAAAGACCACAGGCGCCGGCCCCATCTTCTCCAGGACCTGAAGCCTGGGTCTCAAATGCGTTGGTGTTGGAGAAACGGTTGAAAACAACAGGTTTGGGTAAGTCTAACAAGAACAACAAATTTGAAATAGTAATCCAGAGGTAGTTAATTTCGCGTTTTACCGTCTCTCATCGAATGGTCCAAAATGCGCTTCAACTCCATCCAATCCACTTCCATGTCTTGGCCAGCAATGCTGTCGAACAAACGTCGCAAGCTCTCCTTCTGAGGATCCAATGGCTTGGGTGTAGGAAATCCTGGTGATATCTTTAAAGCCAAATACGTAAAGAAAACGATTCTGTTTGCCAAAGTTTACTTACCGTATCGCCTTTGCCGCCATAACCCACATGATCATCATTCTCTCTATATGGAAGTGAAAAGCGAAATGATTGACATTGAAATGAATGGAAAACAAACTGTTTATAGAGAAGCAATATAATGGTTTTATACAATTACATGTACAAGTACTAGGATTTTTAATGGTCTAATGAGTATTTTAAGCGGATTTTCAAGGTGAACTAATTTATATGGGTCCATTTTTAAAGTATAAATAACGTTGTTGTGGGAGTTTCCTTTATTTTTACTTTAATAAATATATTGTTACATGAGAAAAATACATAGAATTTAAACAAAGGGTTAAGAATAGACCACTAAAAATAACTGTGTTGATAAATCTTACTAAGATTTTACCGCCCTTTCAATACCTGACAAGAAAATATGACTTTATACTGAGCAGACTATTTAAAATTGTCGTAATACTTTCCATTTAAAGTTCAATTCCTTAAAAACGAAACAGACTGACAGACATAACGTATAACCTTATTTAAGTAAATATTAAATATTTCGAACGTTTCAAGAATACTGTACGCTTTAATCTCAACTATGTTTTAAGTTATTAAAAAAGAGTGTAAAAAAACAAGTAGCCAACATGCAATTCTGTAATTTAACTTTTGGGAATGTGTAGAGGGTAAGAGTCAAACAACCAAATCTAGTTTAACATTTACTAGCACTAAAGATATAAATATATTGTAGTCACATACCACATATTGCACTTTAGAAGCTTTAAGTTATTGAAACCCCGCATTATTTCTAATATACAAACTCATTATCATTGTCTACTTGTACGCACTCCATGTTATTTTGAGTTTCTGAGAACACTCGAATGATGAACTCTCCCTCCTCGTTTGGATCGAAGGTTGAAGGCACAATCAGGTAGTGGCCAGGAGGTAGTTTAAAGCGAGCGCATACCTAAAAAACAAACACATTTAAATAATAATAAAAATTTTCGAGAAACCATGGTACATACCTCGCGGGTATTGATGAAGTGAGGCGATCGGCCCACCGATGATTTGTACCTGAAGAAGTTCAGGCCTTGCGGACGATTCTCCAGCTCGCGATCGTTAAGACTATAGATGGCAAAACCAATGGTCAGACATTCCATTCCCATGTTGCGCTTCGATCTGCGATTCTTCTGCATCAGGGCCACAATCACGGTGCACTGTCCCTCTTCGTCCTCCTCGTCGGGATCGACCAGCGTGATGATGTACTGGGGATTGTGCCAGAAGGTGTCCAGGAAATTGCGACAACCTCCGGCCGTTACACCGGGTGTCCACTCGCCCTCGTACATGGACATCTCCCACTTTCGCTTGCCACTCTGCTGCTGATCTTCGGTCAGCGAGTCTGGCGACAAGTTGCAAATCTGCAAAAATCATTGTTTATCAAATTGATTTGAACAACTAAACTCAAATTTCGTACCTCCACGCGATCGAAGTGATTGAGGAAATCTTGGAAGGACATCCAGAACTCTCCATCCCTGTCAAAAGTAAGTCCAATTTCCGCCTTCTGCTCCTCAGGTATGTATCGCCACTCAGGGGAGCTATCACTCCAAGGTCCATTCCACTCAGCTTCATTGCCCCAAGGATTGCGCATTCTAATCATGGGAATCTTGCCCTGACGATTGGGCGTTACTATGTCAATAAGGCAGACCTGTAGACAAACAGGTTTGATAATTATTAAGTTCACTTAATATTGTTGTACTCCGAACCTTGGTAATAGAGTAAGCGTGGCCACGAATCAAACCCTGGGGAGTTTCCGCCTCTGTGACATTGGGATCCGGCTCAATGGAGCAACCCATCATGGAATTGCGATCAGCTGCTTTTTGCAGAATGGTGAACAGATTGCCGGGGGCTTCCTTCAGGTCGTACCACTCGCTAACACCACCTGTAAAGTCCTCCATGGCCTCGCAAGTACTGCCTCCCTTCAGAGCCTCGTATGATCCGTGAAGTCTGCAAAATATGGTATATCAGCAAGCTAATTATTATATAGAAGCTTTAGTTATACTTGGCATAAGCCTTTTCCAGCAGAGCGCTCCAGAACTCATTCTTCTCCGTGGAGTGCATGTACATCAGTTCCCCATTATAAGTGGGCAAGCGGTCATCAACAATCACATCCACCCATTTACCTTTTTTATAAATACAAAAGGGTTAATTTCTTAGGATCTTTGTAGTTGTATACCAAAGTTACCATATTGCCAGAAGCGGAAATGGAATATGCCAGCGTAATTCTCCTCGAAACTCTGCTCAGCTGGGATTACACGGAAGAATAGATTTGCTTCCTGGGTCAAATTAGCGGTGGCAGCTAACAGCCAGCAATCTCCAAGTTCTCCCTGTTGCACATCGAACCGGGAATAGCCCTCCACAAAGAACTGCGGATTCTCGGCGATTTCCTTTATAATAAAATAAGCTATTATACCTTATCATTACCATAAATGTCTTTGATTAAACTTACATGAGGTCTCAGCCATTCGATGTGACGATCTGGACGTCGAGAAAACTGAAGCGACTCATTTGAAGCCGGAAAGAGTGGATCCTCGAAAAGTGAGCCGCTGGCAAGGCAGCTGTTCAAGATGGTCTCATAGTCCTGCACTTCGGAGTAAGGTCCCAGGTTCGAGCTCTTTTCTCCCAGCTAAAGAATACTTTTTATTAGTTATATGGTCCTTTGAAAACGTTTTTATGTATGCATATATTTCGGTACGAGTAGTTATGTATGTACAGACTAAATGTGTGTAATGTAGTTTTATAAACGAGGACGCGTTTTGTACACTTTACATGCTGAAGAAAAAACAAAACACAAGGACAACACAGTACGACACTTTGGCAGCGCATTATCCTTGGGACGGAATTATGTCAATGCCATTAGGATGACTGGATTAAGTACTTACGTTCCCATAGTACAACGCTTGGGATTGCAATGGTGTGGATTGCAATGTTTGCTAATGATTGATTGGAATGTACTTGTTAACATGCATATGGATTTCAATGGATTGTTTACGTTTGTATAGTATAGTATAGTATAGTATATAGCCTTTGCCTATAGCCTATCTTGATGATAACCCCACCGGTCAACTTACAACTCTCATGTTCTTGATGCTGGGCAGCACTCTCTTGGTGTCGGCCTCCTTCTTGATGAAGATTTCGTTGATCACCGATCCAACCACTTCCTTGGCCGCTCCCATCGCAGCATCTCCGGCTGCATTCAGGAACTCCTGTCCCGCTTGCCTCAAGAATCCCCTCAAGTCATCCATCTTTCAGATATCTGAAATTATAGTTTCATGTCAGTAACAAAGCAGAATGCCGCCCAAGATTAAAAACCCATTTATATATATTTATGTCCAAATATCTGATATCTAGTTGGCAAAGTCCAATATTTATATCGCCCATATTTACTTATTTGCCTCGCGCGGGAATTAAAAGCACACCCATGGGGCATAAATATGGTTTAACGAGTATTACAGAAGCGTTAATATGTCCAACGTGACTGGGACTTGAGTTTAATTAAATTACTTTAATTCACGCAACGAGCATTAGGTTTATTCAAACAGAAATTATACGTTGGAGACAACATTTTCTCAGTTCACACCCAAATATAATTCAAACGTTTCCACATATATAATAAATTATATGTATCCGAATATATATGCTTCATTGTGTGACATCATTCGTAGCATGAGATTCTCTAGTGACTCAAAAAAATCCAAAGGGTGTGCGCCATTCGGTGGTTTGAGCTCCATTCCTAATCCACATTGAGCTGTGACCATGACATTGAGTCGGGAACTACAAATGCATTGCACATACATATAGGGTATATTTCTGTCGCAATCGTAAATTGGCTTTTAATTGGGACAAAATAGGCGAGTTGGGTCCCATATTTCATAGTATTGGCCAGCATTGGTAATTCTACTGCGAAACCCAAACAGGTTTTATTAATTAATGCATTCTTTAGGCCTGGCTCATTTCCGTGACCAGAAAATACGGGAAAAGCAAAGAACATCATCAAAATAAATAACTTTTGAGCTTTTCGCCATTTCTAATGAACCTTTATTAGCCGAGAGAACGATTTCCGATTCGAATCGCGCACTTTCACTCCCCAAAACCACAACACAACAATAAAGTAACTGATCCGCGTACCGTACCTTCAATCTGGCGAGATATTTACTCACTACAAATATTTATATCTCTATCTGAACACCTGACTGCCGGCTGTGGCTATCGATTCATTTAGTATTTTTTATCGCAGTATGTGAATTTTTTAAAATAAACAAGAGAGAACGCTAAGGTCGAGTTCCACGACTCTTAGATACCCATTAGACAGCTAACAAACTTCAAACTATCTATTGCCGCACAAACTAATTGAGGTCTAGGTGGCGCCATCTGTCGAATTGCATTGCCCCCCATATACTTTATAGGGTCGGAAACGATCTTTTCTACCTGTTATATACTTTTCAACAATACAATATACCCTTTAGCACAACGAGTAATGGGTATGAAAATACCAAATCCAGAAAAGAAATGGTATGGTCTCTTTATTTTCCAACACTATTTCAGTGGTAATTTTTAGTCAGTTTAAGTTTTGTAAAATGTTTTTTGTCTCGGGGTTTTTGTTAAAAAATTAGCCAGAAAAACAAAGTAAATAAGGTAATTACAGGTGCTTCAAATAGTTACGAAGCAAATTATATGATTTTTTTCTAAAGCTTGTTATGGTTGTAATATAGATGTAAAAGCCGTATGATTCACAGTTGGAGTTTTTTTTTTGTTTTTTCTTACTTTTTTTGTGTAGCTTTTCTTTTGCGTTTTGTGAAAATTGAGCAATTAAAACATGGTGTTTGGTTTGGTTTTAGGAATTTGCAGATTGTGTGGCCATGGATTTGGTGGACATTGATCAGGTTTTGGATAATCTGGAACTGCGCATTGCCGCCGATGAGCAGTTGACCAGAAATGCAGCTGCAGCCGCGATTTCGACAGTTCCTGGTCGTTTTTTGGGCGATGGAGCGAGTGCAACCAACAATGGAGCAGGAGGATCAGGAGCTGCAGGGATGACACCATCGCCTCAAGCACCTCCAGCATCTGTTAACCTGCCCAAGACATTTGTGGGCGTCTCTCAAGTCTTCAACAGCCTCGATGACTACAGGGAAAATGTGAAATCCTTGGAGGTGGATGCCCAGCTGCCCAGTTACGACTGGCAAACGGAGGCGGAACACGAGGATGACATTCACAAGTTCAGTGAGCAGGCGGACAAAAATAAGGGCCAAGCGATAGTATCCTCCTCCGAATCCCTGACCACTTCGTCCTGTTCCACATTTTCATCGGGTCCTTCGCCGGTGAGCAATGGCAGTCACTCGGAGGAGCTAACAACGCCCCCAGAAACCGATAAACCAAGTGAAGTTCAGGTGGTGCCAAAGGAACAAGATCAACCAACGGAACAAGCTAAAGAAGAGGATCAAAGTCAAGATCAGGTGGTGATCACAGACCGTGATCAATCCAAGGAAAATTTAGAGGAGCTGGCTGTTGGGCTGTCCTCTATCTCAATCACAGCTTCCGTCACAGAATCGCAATCCTTGTTGCCGGAAGAGGTCACAGCATCATCTGTTTTGGGACAGGTTCTGCAGGAGCTGTCGGAGGAGTCATCGCCCAGTAGAGAACCCGAAACGGAGATGACCAATGGCATCGATGTCCCAGTACCCATTGCAGTAAGTGTTGCTATGCTTAATTGCTTTAAACCATTATTTGTTAAAGATTTTAACTTATACAACCGATAAAATAAATTTAGGAACAAAGAAAAGTTATTCTCGTCACAATTTAAACAATTTTTTAATGGTTTTTGGCTTATAGAGCAGAAAAAATCAGTTTTTTGGGAACATGTATTTTTTCTCTCTATGGCCTTCTTGGTTTAAGTGTATGTACTACAAAAGATAACGTTGCTTTTCGAAATAAATCCAACGTACTTTTAGATTTTAATTAAATTGTTGCATACTTTTACAGACCTTTTTTCGAAATCCTACTTATCATATTATTTTGACGGATAAAGAATTTTAAATCGAGATTAATTCAAGATTAATTTATTTTAATCAATTTATAACCACATTAAAATAAATTATATGCATTCCAGAAAGCAGCTGTCGCCGAAGCACCTCCCCTACAAGTAAAAGAGCAGCCGGCACAAAAAGAAGATGAGGATGAGGAGCAAGTCCAACCACAAAATGCGCGGCGCAGTCAACCCTTGACCTTCTGCTCCACCATGGACGAGATTTCCGACACAGAGCTAGACAGCATGCTGCAGGAAATGGAGGCAGATGACAACCAGGAGGGAGATCAGGAGATGCCCGAGGAAGAGAAATCCCCCTCCGCCTCACCAGTGACCGAAGAGGAGTCCGTGCGGATACTGTCTGACGAACAGGAGACCACCTCCAACGACCAGATGAACGTGGACAACTTCTCGCAAGCCTCCACCGTGGAGTTTGCCGATCTGAAGCCACAGGAGTCCATACCAGTGACCGCAATGGGCGAGGATATAGCCTCTAGTTTCAGCAGCACAGAGTCGGATTCGCTTTCGGGCAGAAAACTAGAAGGCGAGGAGGAACAGGAGGCCGAGAGAGAGCAGGAGGATGCCAGCCTGGCCACTGATGCATTGGAAACCCAAGAGCAGCGTCCGCAGCGCCCGCAAACACTGGATTTGAATGGTTGCCAGGCAGGAAATTCAACTCCATCTCAAGAGGAAACCCCTGAAACCAACCAGGGAGAACCCAAGCCAGCCGAAGGCGTTGAAGGAGCAGCAGGAGCAGGTGTTATACCCGGCGAAGATGATGAGGAGAGTCCCATCTACGAGGCCGTGGGCTACAGCGATCCGCATGCCAACCTGGGCAAGGTGCCACCCATTTGGGTGCCGGATAACATGGCCGGTCAATGTATGCAGTGTCAGCAAAAGTTCACCATGATCAAGAGGCGACACCACTGTCGCGCCTGCGGAAAGGTCTTGTGCTCCGTTTGCTGTTCCCAGCGTTTCCGCCTAGAGTTTGCCAACGAGCCGGAGTCGCGGGTCTGCGTTCAGTGCTACATGATTCTGTCCGAGCGGCAGGCCAACGTATTGGGAGCTGAGTCAGCTCCAGGTTCCGTTTTGCCGCCCACTCCCATGCGTTCGCCAAATCCCAACAACCCGATGGAATATTGCTCTACAATACCACCGCATCGCCAGGTGGCCTCCTCACCAGGAGCTCCGCCACCCAGCGTAATTGTGCCCGTGGGTGTGCTGAAGAAAACCGATGGCAGCTCCTCGAACTCCTCCAGTTCGGATGGCAAGAAGGGTGCCAGAAAGCGGAAGAGTGTCATGTTCAGTGATGGCATTGCGCCGGGCAGCGAACTGGCCAGCACCATGGAACAACAGTGGGGCGAGGCAAAGCAGGCGAGGCGAGGACTGTCCAGGAGTGGTTCAGGTGCTGGTCAGAAACCGCCCACACCTGCGACAGAGGAACCACCACGCAGCATTGATACCAGCTCTACGCTGGGCTTGGTGGCACAGCTCTTTCGTGGTTCCATTCCTCCAAGTGCAGCGGCTGCAACTCTGGCAGCTACCGAATCACCAAGCGGTAAGGAGTCGCTTTATCCCTTTCAAAACGCCTTATGATGTAATCTCTTTTTATCTCTCAGCTGGTCGCTCCTCATCCCAATCGCAAGCTCAGACGTCGCCGCGGCGCAAAACGGAACCAGCGCGCAATCGCAAACTTCCGCCGAACGCAGATGCCCAAGGCTGCTATCTGCCGGTCGAAGAGAACGCCCTGCCGCCCATTTGCATAACTAGCAAAGAGGGCGGTGAGGTGGACTACAAGATGGTGCGCAACGATGGATCGCTCCTGGAGCGATTGCAGAATGAAACGCTTAAGTTTATCATTAAGAATAACTTCTATGTGCTGGTCAAGATTGTTAACAGTCAGTATTTGCATCTATATATTAATATAAATCCTTTTAATTGCAATTTTGTTAATCCTCAGTGAGCTGTTGTATGAATCGCTGGGTGCTGAACTTCACCACATCTGGCCTACATCAAATGGCCAGCGATGAGCTGATCATTCTGCTGGAGATTAAGCAACCGAAGCAAGGGGAGTCAGCCAATGGCGAAGTGGCCATCCCAAAGGACGTATTTCAGCATCTAAATGAGATCTATGCGGAGGCGGAGCATGCCCGGTCGATTTCCCATGAATTGGCTTTTACCAGTCCGCGTAACGCCAATTTCCTGGGTTCCAGGGAGCATGGTGGATTCATTTTTATCCGGCCAACGTACCAGTGTCTGCAGGGCGTCATTGTGCCAGACAATCCCTACCTGGTTGGCGTGCTCATCCATCGGCACGAGGTTCCATGGGCTAAGGTCTTACCCCTGCGATTGATCCTCCGTTTGGGAGCCCAATACCGCTACTATCCCTGCCCTCTTATCTCGGTGCGCGGCAGGGAATCGGTGTACGGAGAAATAGCTCAAACTATTATCAATTTCCTGGTCGATTTCCGCAACTATTCATACTCTCTGCCGGCTATCCGAGGATTATATATCCATATGGAGGACAGGCAGACAACTGTGATTATTCCAAAGTATCGGCAGCAGGATGTGATCAAGGCAATCAACAATGCCAGCGATCATATATTGGCATTTGCCGGAAACTTCTCAAAAGTGGCAGACGGACATTTGGTGTGCATGCAGAATATCAACGACGATCGGTCTGAGATGTATTCCTACTCCACACAGGCCATTAACATTCAGGGTCAACCCAGGAAAATAACAGGTGCGAGTTTCTTCGTGCTAAATGAAGCCCTCAAGAGCAGCAGTGGTTTGTCGGGGAAATGCAGCATCGTGGAGGATGGTCTGATGGTACAGATAATGCCCGCTAAAATGGAAGAAGTGCGTCAGGCGTTGCGCAACCAAAACGACATCGATATCGTCTGCGGACCTATCGACGCTACCGACGATCAGAGTGAGATCGTGAGCATAAAGTGGGTGGACAATAATCGGGACATTAATGTGGGGTAAATTTAGCAATGAAACCTTTTAAGAAAATATGAAACTGCATTAATAACCCTTTTAATTGACAGCGTTAAGTCACCCATTGATGACCAACCCATGGATGGCATTTCCAATATGCGTGTCCATGCCAGCTTCAACTATTCCAATGCAAATTATACCATCCGCCTGAGTGATATCTACATTGTCAAGGTGAGAATGTTTAAAGTCATATTTCT